CTCTGGGTAAGAGCGTCTGCTAAATGACTAAAATGTAAATGTTTACAGCCCCGTCTCCTGCTGTAATACCTATAAACACCATAAGGTGGCGGTAGGGCCCGCCAGCCCGGATCATTTCAGTCTGGTCCACTCTGAAGGAGAGGGAGTCGCTGCTGCCACTGCTACTGGAGAGCAATACCCACAGATAGAACAATGAGCCGGATGTTTCACCAGATGTATAAATCTGAAGCATCCTTGTTGGCGTTTCCACTCACCGCCAATATGGTGACGAGAGGAAACCCAGTGGCCGGCAGTGGGAGAAGATGGAACGAGATGGATTTTGGCCGACATTCTGCGCATTTTCTCATAGATGAAAATGAAACATTTGATCTCAATACAGTTTTTCTGTTCCCAAAACTAGAATATGTTACGAACAGAGTGGACTAAGTTTTGTAGACTTTACCCGTTGCCAAAGTTTTTTTTAAATGGTGTTGTTTACGAGTGCAAGGGTGAACTGAGTTATGAAGAGCACACACATTTCACAGAGTAGGCGTTCTTCTAATTTCAATTATGAAACAATGTTGCAAATGTCAAGAGACAGACAGCAACTTTGTACAAATCCCCATTGTTGCAAACCAAATGTTAGGCTAGAAGCAAGGGAAAATAATGTCTAGATGCCTTTTACAGTGGAGATCAAGTTAATTAATTGGCTGCCAGTGCTGATCGATTTATACCAAAATACACTACAATATAAGTTAAATTAGTCTGCTCTAGTTCAAGTTGACTCACACTCACATATCCCCTCTCCTCCCTTCCAGATATACTGTCTGAAGGTGATGAGGACTTGGATGAACTGAATGAAGTTCTGATCAGAGCAGCTGTACATTCTGACCACCAAAGGGAGCTGTATAGACCACTACACCACCAGCCCCAGCCCCGGACCACAACAACCACACCAGCCCCAGACCACCACAACAACAACACCAGCCCCAGGCCTGGACCACCTCACCACAACAACAACACCAGCCCCAGACTACCACACCACAACACCAGCCCCAGGCCTGGACCACCTCACCACAACACCAGCTCCAGCCCTGGACCACACCAGCCCCAGACCACCTCACCACAACACCACCAGCCCCAGTCCTGGACCACAACACCACCAGCCCCAGTCCCGGACCACAACAACACCAGCCCCAGTCCTGGACCACCTCACCACAACACCACCAGCCCCGGACCACAACAACACCAGCCCCAGTCCTGGACCACCTCACCACAACACCACCAGCCCCAGTCCCGGACCACAACAACACCAGCCCCAGTCCTGGACCACCTCACCACAACACCACCAGCCCCAGTCCCGGACCACAACAACACCAGCCCCAGTCCTGGACCACCTCACCACAACAACACCAGTTCTGGACCACCTCACCACAACAACACCAGCCCCAGTTCTGGACCACCTCACCACAACAACACCAGTTCTGGACCACCTCACCACAACACCACCAGCCCCAGGCCTGGACCACCTCAAAACTACATCTGAACCTAAACAGGCAAAAACAGACTAGCGACCCATCTATAGGGTTAAACACGAGAGAGAGAGAGAGAGAGAGAGAGAGAGAGAGAGTATAGGAAAGAGTTGTGTCATACAAATCAAAGTTATTGTTTAGGGTGGGAGGACCGGGGGTCGCTGTTTTAAAAATAAATAAAGGACTATTATTCTCAAGAACATTACATTTCGCCTGAACTCCATGTCATCATCGCACTCATCATCAGTGTTGGACTTGGACTGACATACACTGTACAAAAATATAAACGCAACATGTAAAGTGTTGGTCCCATGTTTCATGAGCTGAAATAAAACAACCCTATAATTTTCCATATGCACAAAAAGCTTATTTCTCTCAAATTGCGTGCACAAATTAGTTTACATCCCTGTTTGTGAGCATTTCTCCTTTGCCAAGATAATCCATCTACCTGACAGGTGTGTGCATTTTAACGCTGGCAATTGCAATGCACCGTGATGAGATCCTGAGGCCCATTGTCGTGCTATTCATCCACTGCCATCACCTCATGTTTCAGCATGATAATGCACGGCCCCATGTCACAAGGATCTGAACACAATTCCTGGAAGCTGAAAATATCCCAGTTCTTCCATGGCCTGCATACTCACCAGACATGTCACCCATTGAGCCCGTTTGGGATGCTCTGGATCAATATGTACGACAGCGTGTTCCAGCTCCCGCCAATATCCAGCAACTTCACACAGCCATTGAAGAAGAGTGGGACAACATTCCACAGGCCACAATCAACAGCCTGATCAACTCTATGCGAAGGAGAAGTGTTGTGCTGCATGAGGCAAATGGTGGTCACACCAGATACTGACTGGTTTTCTGATCAACGCCAATTATTATTATTATATATATATTTTTAAGGTATCTGTGACCAACCGATGCATATCTGTATTCCCAGTCATGTGAAATCCATAGATTCGGGCCTAATTTATCTATTTCAATTGACTGATTTCCTTATATTAATCTTTGAAATTGTTGCATGTTGCGTTTAGATTTTGGTTCAGTGTAGGTGCCGGTACTCATTTTGGGTGATTGTACTTTTGGTCAAGCACTGCTCAGTACACATGTACACATGGCTTGACATCTTCTGCGTGTCCGTTTTGGAGTGAACAAATAAAGCAGGATCAGTCCGTTTCCCTGTGTCATGAGGCAGGTGAAACTGCAGCTCTTTTTTTTTTTCCAGCATATCATTCAAACCACTGGGACATTCTAGTCAAGAACACATTCACTTGAACTTAGCAGACTCACATTGTCCTTTCTTTAGAAGTCATTCACCAAAGTAAAGTGACATCTGTTTTTGCCCATATAAAGTGTCCTCTCTTTTCAAGTCTGCTAAATATTGACATATTTGAAACAGTGCTCTGATTGATATACAGTGGGGAAAAAAAGTATTTAGTCAGCCACCAATTGTGCAAGTTCTCCCACTTAAAAAGATGAGAGAGGCCTGTAATTTTCATCATAGGTACACGTCAACTATGACAGACAAATTGAGAAAAAAAAATCCAGAAAATCCCATTGTAGGATTTTTTATGAATTTATTTGCAAATTATGGTGGAAAATAAGTATTTGGTCACCTACAAACAAGCAAGATTTCTGGCTCTCACAGACCTGTAACTTCTTCTTTAAGAGGCTCCTCTGTCCTCCACTCGTTACCTGTATTAATGGCACCTGTTTGAACTTGTTATCAGTATAAAAGACACCTGTCCACAACCTCAAACAGTCACACTCCAAACTCCACAATGGCCAAGACCAAAGAGCTGTCAAAGGACACCAAAAACAAAATTGTAGACCTGCACCAGGCTGGGAAGACTGAATCTGCAATAGGTAAGCAGCTTGGTTTGAAGAAATCAACTGTGGGAGCAATTATTAGGAAATGGAAGACATACAAGACCACTGATAATCTCCCTCGATCTGGGGCTCCACGCAAGATCTCACCCCGTGGGGTCAAAATGATCACAAGAACGGTGAGCAAAAATCCCAGAACCACACGGGGGGACCTAGTGAATGACCTGCAGAGAGCTGGGACCAAAGTAACAAAGCCTACCATCAGTAACACACTACGCCGCCAGGGACTCAAATCCTGCAGTGCGAGACGTGTCCCCCTGCTTAAGCCAGTACATGTCCAGGCCCGTCTGAAGTGCATTTGGATGATCCAGAAGAGGATTGGGAGAATGTCATATGGTCAGATGAAACCAAAATATAACTTTTTGGTAAAAACTCAACTCGTCATGTTTGGAGGACAAAGAATGCTGAGTTGCATCCAAAGAACACCATACCTACTGTGAAGCATGGGGTTGGAAACATCATGCTTTGGGGCTGTTTTTCTGCAAAGGGACCAGGACGACTGATCCGTGTAAAGGAAAGAATGAATGGGGCCATGTATCGTGAGATTTTGAGTGAAACCCTCCTTCCATCAGCAAGGGCATTGAAGATGAAACGTGGCTGGGTCTTTCAGCATGACAATGATCCCAAACACACCGCCCGGGCAACGAAGGAGTGGCTCCGTAAGAAGCATTTCAAGGTCCTGGAGTGGCCTAGCCAGTCTCCAGATCTCAACCCCATAGAAAATCTTTGGAGGGAGTTGAAAGTCTGTGTTGCCCAGCGACAGCCCCAAAACATCACTGCTCTAGAGGAGATCTGCATGGAGGAATGGGCCAAAATACCAGCAACAGTGTGTGAAAACCTTGTGAAGACTTACAGAAAACGTTTGACCTGTGTCATTGCCAACAAAGGGTATATAACAAAGTATTGAGAAACTTTTGTTATTGACCAAATACTTATTTTCCACCATCATATGCCAATAAATTCATTAAAAATCCTACAATGTGATTTTCTGGATTTTTTTTTCTCATTTTGTCTGTCATAGTTGACGTGTACCTATGATGAAAATTACAGGCCTCTCTCATCTTTTTAAGTGGGAGAACTTGCACAATTGGTGGCTGACTAAATACTTTTTTTCCCCACTGTACAGTATGATGTGTCTATTAGAGATATACAGTATGATGTGTCTATTAGAGATATACAGTATGATGTGTCTATTAGAGATATACAGTATGATGTGTCTATTAGAATGTGGGAGATGGCTGCGCTGGCTGTCTCGTAATACAGCTGGACAGTCCTGTAGGAACAACTACCATATCTGGCAGTGCTCTGGTCACTTTCAATACACAGTAAATGTAATACATTCACCGATGTCCTGTAGTCCACCACTCCTTCTCCGCCCTCCATCCCTCCTCTTCTCTCCCCTCCTCTTCTCTTCCCTATCCCCCTCCCTCCCTTCCTCTTCTCTCTCCTCCCCCCTCCACCCCCCCTCGCCCCTCCCCACCCCTCCCTCCCCTCCCACCCCTCCCTCCCCTCCCTCCCTCCACTTTCTCTCCCCCCCCCCCCCTCCACGTCCCTCCCCCCCATTCTCTCCTCCCCCTCCCCTCCCTCCCTCCCTTCTTCCTACCCCCCCTCCCTCCCTCCCCCCTCCTCCCTCCCCCCCCCCCTCCCTCCCCCCTCCATCCCTCCTCTTCTCTTCCTCCCCCTCCCTCCCTCCTCTTCTCTCCCCCACCCCTCCCTCCCTCCACTTCTCTCCCCCCCTCCCTCCCTCCACCTCCTCCCCCTCCCCCCTCCCTCCCTCCCTTCCTCTTCCCCCTCTCCCCCCCCCTTCTTTTCCTCCCTCCCTCCCTCACTTCCCTCCCCCCTCCCTCCCCCCTCCTTTTCGCCCTCCCCCCCCCCTTCCCTCTTCTCCCTCCCTCCCCCTCTCCCTTCTCCCCCTCCCCTCCCTTCCCCTTCTCCCTCCCTCCCTCCCTCCCTCCCCCCTTCTCCCCCCTCCTCCGCCCCTCCCTCCCTCCCCTTCTCCCTCCCTCCTCTTCTCCCTCCCGTCCCTCCTCCCTCCTCTTCCCCTCCTCTGCCCCCCCTCATCCTCTCTCTACCCCCCTCCCTTCCTAGACCCTCCTGCTTCCCGGCCCCCATCCCCTCCTCTTCTCCCCCTCCATCCCTCGCTCCTCTTCTCTCCCTCCTCCCTCCATCCCTCCCTCCTTCCTTCCTCCCATCTTCTCTCCCCTCCTCTTCTCCCTCCCGCTCTCCTCCCTCCCACCCTCCTCTTCTCTCCTCGCTCCCTCCTCTTCTCTCCTCGCTCCCTCCTCTTCTCTCCTCGCTCCCTCCTCTTCCCTCCTCGCTCCCTCCCCCTCCCGCCCTCATCTTCTCTCCCCCCCTCCCACCATCACAGAGGGGTATACACTGAGTGTACAAAATATTATGAACACCTTCCTAATATTGAGTTGCACCCCTTTTTCCCCCCCATCACAGCCTCAATTGGTCGGGGCATGAACTCTAAAAGGTGTCGAAAGTGTTCCACAGGGATGCTGGCCCATGTTGACTCCAATGCTTCCCACAGTTGTGTCAAGTTGGCTGGATGTCCTTTGGGTGGTGGACCATTCTTGATACACACGGCTGTTGAGCGTGAAAAACCCAGCAGCGTTGAAGTTGTTGACACAAACTGGTGTGCCTGGCACCACCATAACCCGTTCAAAGGCACTTCAATATTTTGTCGTGCCCATTCACCCTTTGAATGGCACACATACACAATCCATGTCTCAATTGTCTCAAGGCTTAAAAATCCTTCTTTAACCTGTCTCCTCCCCTTCATCTACACTGATTGAAGTGGATTTAACAAGTTACATCAATAAGGGATCATAACTTTCACCTGGATTAGCCTGGTCAGTCTATGTCATGGAAAGAGCAGGTGTTCTTAATGTTTTGTATACTCAGTGTATGTGTGACTCTGGATGGAAACTGGACACTACACTTACTGAACCCATGAGTCTCAGATTTCTTTGACAATTCTAAGTTGTGAAACTGTCGTCAGGGTGAAAAGTTGGTCGAACAGAGATAAAGGTGTTAACACATACAATACATGTTAATAACACAATTATATCAAAATCAAGACCCAGGTTTTACTCGCCAGTCGCTGAGTTTAATTTAAATATACATATACTTTTTTTTTTTTTTTCATCCCACCTCTATATTTTTTACCTCCCCACTCCCAAGCCATCTCAGGTTCTCCTCTTCTCCACCACAGAGAAAGGCTGCGTTCCAAATGGCGCCCTATTCTCTATAGTGTGCACTACATATGACCAGGGTCCATAGGGCTCTATGTAGGGAATAGGGTGCCATTTTGAATGCAGAAAAAAAGCAGGTCTGGCTAAAAACACTGTCTATTTGTGCAGCATATCGCTTTTTAAGACATTTGCGAACATAAATGAAATCCTACACCTTTTTTTGTTGCTTATTTTTCCTTCATTTCAGATTGTTTTGAACAGAAAGAACTAAAAACCACAGTGTCCCTCCATCCGTCTACATGAAAGGAGGCATCCACCCGTTCCACGGTATATTCCCCTTACCCTTGCATCCTACACAGTGATCCGTACCATGATGCTTGAAGTGGGGGAAGGTTCACTGGAACGTCTGTAGGCTTCAATCAAAATACAGTACAGTTAAGTCCTGAGTGTAGCCAATTGTTTCGGCGTTTGCAGGGTGTGTCAAACATCTGAAGTCCAATCTTTATTCTCCAATTGATTGATTCATCTCAGTCTTTGTTTCACTAGTACTCCTCTGTCTCTCACCTCTTCTCCAGTTAAATAAAGTTTGTTTTGTGCCCCCCACCCTCACCGGGATGTTTAATGCTCTACAGTCCTCTTTTCCCAATGTGTGCGCCATTAGCGGCTTGCCGGCTTCCTATCGGCTGGCTGGTTGAGGTGGCAGGGTTGTCATTGGTCCAACGCGGGGGTGAGGGGCGGGTGCAGGCAGGCATAGTGAAGGACAGTGTGTGTGAAATGAACGGCACTAGAGGAAAACTGGTTCTAGGTTAGTCACAAGGCATGCATGTTAACACTCAACTCTAGATGGAAGAGTGTTAATGTGTACTGTGCGTTGTCTATACAAGTGAGTCTGCTTAGCTTGGGTGCAAGTATCGATCGATGCTTGTTGTCTGTGCATGTTGGTATGGGCAACGTGTGTTTCTGTGTATGTATGTATGTACACTACATTACCAAAAGTATGTGGACACCTGCTCATCGAACATCTCATTCCAAAATCATGGGCATTAATATGGAGTTGGTCCCCCCTTTGCTGCTATAACAGCCTCCACTCTTCTGAGAAGGCTTTCCACTAGATGTTGGAACATTGCTGCGGGGACTTGCTTCCATTCATCCACAAGAGCTTAGTGAGGTCGGACACTGATGTTGGGCGATTAGGCCTGACTCGCAGTCGGCACTCCAATTCATCCCAAAGGTGTTCGATGGGGACCTCGCTTTGTGCACAGGGGCATTGTCATGCTGAAACAGGAAAGGGTCTTCCCCAAACTGTTGCCACAAAGTTGGAAGCACAGAATCGTCTAGAATGTCATTGTATGCTGTACTGTTAAGTTTTCCCTTCACTGGAATTAAGGGGCCTAGCCCGAACCATGAAAAACAGACCCAGACCATTATTCCCCCTCCACCAAACTTTACAGTTGGCACTATGCATTGGCGCAGATAGCGTTCTCATAGCATCCGCCAAACCCAGATTTGTCCGTCGGACTGCCAGATTCTGAAGCGTGATTCATCACTTCAGAGAACGCGTTTCCACTGCGCCAGAGTCCAATGGTGGCGAGCTTTACACCACTCCAGCCGACACTTGGCATTGTGATCTTAGGCTTGTGTGCGGCTGCTCGGCCATGGAAACCCATTACATGAAGCTCCCGACAAACAGTTATTGTGCTGACGTTGCTTCCAGAGGCAGTTTGGAACTGAGTTTTGCAACAAAGGACAGATGATTTTTACACGCTACATGCTTCAGCACTCGGCGGTCCCGTTATGTGAGCTTGTGTGGCCTACCACTTCGCTGCTGAGCCGTTGTTGCTCCTAGACGTTTCCACTTCACAATAACAGCACTTGCAGTTCTAGTAGGGCAGAAATTTTATGAACTGACTTGTTGGAAAGGTGGCATCCTATGACGGTGCCACATTGAAAGTCACTGAGCTCTTCAGTCAGGCCATTCTACTTCCAATGTTTGTCAATGGAGAGTGCATGGCTGTGTGCTCGATTTTATACACCTGTCAGCAACGGGTGTGGCTGAAATAGCCAAATCCACAAATTTGAAGGGGTGTCCACATACATTTCTATATGTAGTGTATGTATGCATGTATGTATGTGTGTGTGTATGCATGTATGTATGTATGTATGTACAGTGGGGAGAATAAGTATTTGATACACTTGACGATTTTGCAGGTTTTCCTACTTACAAAGCATGTAGAGGTCTGTAATTTTTTATCATAAGTACACTTCAACTGTGAGAGATTGTATGATTTTTAAGTAATTAATTTGCATTTTATTGCATGACATAAGTATTTGATCACCTACCAACCAGTAAGAATTCCGGCTCTCACAGACCTGTTAGTTTTTCTTTAAGAAGCCCTCCTGTTCTCCACTCATTACCTGTATTAACTGCACCTGTTTGAACTCGTTACCTGTATAAAAGACACCTGTCCACACACTCAATCAAACAGACTCCAACCTCTCCACAATGGCCAAGACCAGACAGCTGTGTAAGGACATCAGGGATAAAATTGTAGACCTGCACAAGGCTGGGATGGGCTACAGGACAATAGGCAAGCAGCTTGGTGAGAAGGCAACAACTGTTGGCGCAATTATTAGAAAATGGAAGAAGTTCAAGATGACGGTCAATCACCCTCGGTCTGGGGCTCCATGCAAGATCTCACCTCGTGGGTCATCAATGATTGTGAGGAAGGTGAGGGATCAGCCCAGAACTACACGGCAGGACCTGGTCAATGACCTGAAGAGAGCTGGGACCACAGTCTCAAAGAAAACCATTAGTAACACACTACGCCGTCATGGATTAAAATCCTGCAGCGCACGCAAGGTCCCCCTGCTCAAGCCAGCGCATGTCCAGGCCCGTCTGAAGTTTGCCAATGACCATCTGGATGATCCAGAGGAGGAATGGGAGAAGGTCATGTGGTCTGATGAGACAAAAATAGAACTTTTTGGTCTAAACTCCACTCGCCGTGTTTGGAGGAAGAAGAAGGATGAGTACAACCCCAAGAACACCATCCCAACCGTGAAGCATAGAGGTGGAAACATCATTCTTTGGGGATGCTTTTCTGCAAAGGGGACAGGACGACTGCACCGTATTGAGGGGAGGATGGATGGGGCCATGTATTGCGAGATCTTGGCCAACAACCTCCTTCCCTCAGTAAGAGCATTGAAGATGGGTCGTGTCTGGGTCTTCCAGCATGACAACGACCCAAAACACATAGCCAGGGCAACTAAGGAGTGCCTCCGTAAGAAGCACCTCAAGGTCCTGGAGTGGCCTAGCCAGTCTCCAGACCTGAACCCAATAGAAAATCTTTGGAGGGAGCTGAAAGTCCGTATTGCCCAGCGACAGCCCCGAAACCTGAAGGATCTGGAGAAGGTCTGTATGGAGGAGTGGGCCAAAATCCCTGCTGCAGTGTGTGCAAACCTGGTCAAGACCTACAGGAAATGTATGATCTCTGTAATTGCAAACAAAGGTTTCTGTACCAAATAATAAGTTCTGCTTTTCTGATGTATCAAATACTTATGTCATGCAATAAAATGCAAATTAATTACTTTAAAATCATACAATGTGATTTTCTGGATTTTTGTTTTACATTCCGTCTCTCACAGTTGAAGTGTACCTATGATAAAAATTACAGACCTCTACATGCTTTGTAAGTAGGAAAACCTGCAAAATCGGCAGTGTATCAAATAGTTGTTCTCCCCACTGTATGCATGTATGTATGTATGTATGTGTGAATAGTCTATTCAAGTTTTGTCATCCATTTACTGAGCAGTCCGTCTGTGCACCATTCCAGATAGGGGCTGCGTTGGCGTTGGGAGTTAGGGAATAGGGGTCATAGGTTCATCGTAGGGTCACACACGGGGGGAGTATTTGGGGTTTCTTGGCACCTCGGTGAAAGATTTGAGCTCGTAAGGGATCCCTGTGTCCACCTCGATGGACTTGCGGGAGAAAAGCAGCCGGATATCGTTGTGCAAGTAGATCTTCCCAGATTTGGAGCTCTGGAATCTACAGAGTCAAAAGAAAACAAAGAAGAACCATCACCGTTAATAGCGTGTAAAGCTAAACTAAGTGTAAAGCTACTAAGCTTAAGTGTAAAGCTACTAAACTAAGTGTAAAGATACTAAGCTAAGTGTAAAGCTACTAAACTAAGTGTAAGGCTACTAAGCTAAAGCTACTAAGCTAAGTGTAAAGCTACTAAACTAAGTGTAAAGATACTAAGCTAAGTGTAAGGCTACTAAGCTAAAGCTACTAAACTAAGTGTAAAGCTACTAAGCTAAGTGTAAAGATACTAAACTAAGTGTAAAGATACTAAGCTAAGTGTAAAGCTACTAAACTAAGTGTAAAGATACTAAGCTAAGTGTAAGGATACTAAGCTAAAGCTACTAAACTAAGTGTAAAGCTACTAAGCTAAGTGTAAAGATACTAAACTAAGTGTAAAGCTACTAAACTAAGTGTAAAGATACTAAGCTAAGTGTAAGGCTACTAAGCTAAAGCTACTAAGCTAAGTGTAAAGATACTAAGCTAAACTTTATTGAAACACTGATCAGCAAACAATCCTAAAGACATTAAGTAAATTATTACATTAGAAAATATTAGTATAGCCTGCATTTGAAATGCTGAACAATGTATCTTGGTTTCTAACAAACAAAACAAACACACAAAAAACAAACAGATGGATGGATGGGGATGGATGGACAATCCTAACAAACATATTGCACATGCCATACATACCGTACAGAAAAATACAATTTCCACAACAAACCGAACCTTAAAGGGATAATCCACCCTAACCACAAATTCCTATGATTAACAGTGTTACATAGTGTTAAATAACACTAATATGAGAAAACAATATTTGTTTTCATTTTGTCATTATTACAAGTTTGGTAGCAAAATCATTGTGGAAATCTGTTGCAGCTCAAGTCGACTACAAAACCCACAATGCAATGCTCTCCCTCCATAGCTACACACAATAATACCAAAGTCAATATTAGCATGTGAAGTAACTAGCTAGCTAGCTGTAAAAATCAGCCAAACAAACTGCATTACCAATCTCACAGAGTTCAACTTGCAGTTCCTCTCAGCTCAGAGCGAGTGCACAGTACGTTACTATGGCAACAACGGCCCTTTCCCACGTTTCCCACAGACACACAGGGCACATTGCGAGATTGCGAGTTGGTACACTGTATAGATTGAGCACATCTAAGCAAAATACTGTTTATACAGTGCCTTCGGAAAGTATTCAGACCCCTTGACTTTTTCCACATTTTGTTACGTTACAGCCTTATTCTAAAATTGATTAAATAAATAAAAATCCTCAATCTAGACACAATACCCCATAATGACAAAGCCAAAACAGGGAGAAGGGCCTTGGTCAGGGAGGTGACCAAGAACCCGACGGTCACTCTGACAGAGCTCTAGAATTCCTCTGTGGAGATGGGAGAACCTTCCAGAAGGACAACCATCTCTGCAGCACTCCACCAATCAGCCCTTTATGGTAGAGTGGCCAGACGGAAGCCACTCCTCAGTAAATGGCACATGACAGCCCGCTTGGAGTTTGCCAAAAGGCATCTGAAGGACTCTCAGACCATGAGAAACAATATTCTCTGGTCTGATGAAACCAAGATTGAACTCATTGGCCTGAATGCCAAGCATCACGTCTGGAGGAAACCTGGCACCATCCCTACTGTGAAGAATGGTGGTTGTAGCATCATGCTGTGGGGATGTTTTTCAGCAGCCGGGACTGGGAGACTAGTCAGAATCGAGTCAAAGATGAACGGAGCAAAGTACAGAGAGATCCTTGATGAAAACCTGCTCCAGAGCGCTCAGGACTTCAGACTGGGGAGAAGGTTCACCTTCCAACAGGACAACGACCCTAAGCACACAGCCAAGACAACGCAGGAGTGGCTTCGGGACAAGTCTCTGAATGTCCTTGAGTTGCCCAGCCAGAGGCCGGACTTGAACCAGATCGAACATCTCTGGAGAGACCTGAAAATAGCTGTGCAGCAATGCTCCCCATCCAACCTGACAGAGCTTGAGAGGATCTGCAGAGAAGAATGGGAGAAACTTCTCAAATTCAGGTGTGTCAAGCTTGTTGTGTCATACCCAAGAAGACTCAAGGCTGTAATCGCTGCCAAAGGTGCTTCAACAAAGTACTGAGTAAAGGGTCTGAATACTTATGTAAATGTGATATTTAATTTTTTATAATTTTTTTTATAAATTAGCAAACATTTCTAAAAATCTGTTTTTGCTTTGTCATTATGGGGTATTGTGTGTAGATTGATGAGGGAGAAAAACTATTTAAATTTTAGAATAAGGCTGTAACCTAACCAAATGTGGAAAAAGTCAAGGGGTCTGAATACTTTTCCGAAGGCACTGTACTTTCTTATGACAATATAAACAGATGGATGTGTTCTAGATAAGACAAGTATGCCCATACCATCTATTGGCTGAATTGGTGATCTGGAGTCCAGGTTGTTTTAAAAGCGTTATGAAATATGATAGTGTGTTATCTCCCATCTCCAGTGACGAGAACCATGTACAGTGCCTTCAAAAAGTATTCACACCTCTTGACTTGTTCCACATTTTGTTGTGTTACAACCTGAATTCAAAATTGATTAAATTAAGGTTTTTTTGTAACTGGCCTACACACACAATACCCTATAAGGTCAAAATAGAATAATGCTTTTCGACATTTTTACAAGTTAATTAAAAATGAAAAGCTGAAATGTATTGAGTCAATAAGTATTCAATCCCTTTGTTATGGCAAGTCAAATAAGTTCAGGAGTAAAAATGTGCTTAACAAGCCACATAATAAGTTGCATGGAATCACTGTGTGCGATAATAGTGTTTAACATGATTTGTTTATGACTATCTCATCTCTGTATCACACATTATCTGTAAGGTCCCTTAGTCGAGCAGGGAATTTTAAACACAGATTCAACCACAAAGACCATCAAGGTTTTCCAATGCCTGGCAAAGGGCACCTATTGGTAGATGGGTAAAAAAAAAGCAGACATTGAATATCCCTTTGAGCATGGTGGAGTCATTAATTACACTTTGGATGGTGTATCAATACACCCAGTCACTACAAAGATACAAGCGTCCTTCCTAACTCCGTTTCCAGAAACCGCTCAGGGATTTCACCATGAGGCCAATGGTGACTTTAAATAAGTTAGAGTTTAATGGCTGTGATAGGAGAAAACTGAGGATGGATCAACAACATTGTAGTTACTCCACAATACTTAAGTAATTGACAAAGTGAAAAGAAGGAAGCCTGTCCAGAATAAAAATATTCCAAAACATGCATCCTGTTTGCAACAAGGCACTAAAGTAATACTGCAAAAAAAATTGGCAAAGCACTCTCCATATTTTCAAGCATAGTGGTGGCTGCATCATGTTATGGGTATGCTTGTAACCATTAAGGACTGGGGAGTTTTTCAGGATAAAAAAGAAATGGAATGGAGTTAAGGACAGGCAAAATCTTTGAGGAAAACCTGGTTCAGTCTGGGAGATGAAATCACCTTTCAGCAGGACAATGACCTAAAACACAAGGTCAAATCTACACTGGAATTGCTTACCAAGACAGTGAATGTTCCTGGGTGGCCGAGTTACAGTTTTGACTGAAATCTCCTTGAAAATCTATGGCAAGACTTGAAAATGGTTGTCTAGCAATGATCAACAACCAATTTGACAGAGCTTGAAGAATTTTCTAAAGAATAAATGGGCAAATATTGTACAATCCAGGTGTGGAAAGCTGATAGAGACTTACCCAGAAAGACTCTCAACTGTAATTGCAAAGGTGATTCTAACGTGTTGATTTAGGGGTGTGAATACTTATGTAAATTAGGTATTTCTGGATTACATTTTCAATACATTAGCAACATTTTCAAAAAATTTATTTTCACTTTGTCATTATTAGATATTGTGTGTAGATGTGTGAGAGACAAACAAATATTTAATCAATTTTGAATTCAGGCTGTAACACAACAACATGTGGAATAAGTCAAGGGGTATGAATACTTTCTAAAGGGAATGTAGCTATGAGACATTCCTACACAATTTTCTGATTTCACAGACAGACCTCTTAGAAGTTTTGTCATGGTGTAAAAATTGTTTTTTACCCACTGATAGAACACAGGCAGGTGTTCACCAAATTGACAGGAGTTTCATGATTTTTAGTTCTGGGGGTGGATTATCCCTTTAAAAACAAACAGAAAATCACCAGATAGACATACCTGAGGTGTATCAGATAGCAGAGAATCTTCCTCCTCTCTGTGGACGTGGCCCTGGGCTCTGGAGGCCCCTTCCCATCTGGCCCGGCCTCCTCCACGGGAACCAGGAAGATGCGGTGACGCAGGAAGGTCATGTGATTGACGGGCATGTCGCCAAAGTTATAGGTCACGAGGAACATCTTCACCACAGTTTTATTGGGGTTGAATAAGGTCTGGATGGAGAGAGAACAGTTTTATTGGGGTTGAATAAGGTCTGGATGGAGAGAGAACAGTTTTATTGGGGTTAAATAAGGTCTGGAGGGAGAGATAACTGTTTTATTGGGGTTGAATAAGGTCTGGAGGGAGAGAGAACTGTTTTATTGGGGTTAAATAAGGTCTGGAGGGAGAGAACATGGAGATATTTGCCATTGTCATGGTATATCCATGCAGTCAGTGCATGCTAGTGCCAGAGAGAGAAAGAGGAGCATGAGACTAACCACTTGGATGGTCCCTGCTTTGGGTACACTGTATCCTCTCTTTCCAAGAGGTTCCAAGGAGATCACTCCCTACAACAGAGAGATGAAATTATTTAACATCATGTCACACACACACACACATGCACACACATACACACACACACTAACCAGGAAGGGTGAGGGTGCGCTGTGCTCTGAGATGTCGTAGTAAGTGACGTGTACAGGCAGAGTGGCGTGTGGAGGGCAGTAGGATCCGCTGGCACCAATCTCTGCTGTGAAGCCCTCGATACGACCCGACGGAGGGAAACGACCCTTCAGGATCGACTCCTGGAGAAGAAACCACAAGAGGGGAAAAGGGTGAAGAGGAGCAACACACAGCCACTTCCAAAACAACAAGAGGGAACACACTGAGGTCCACTGCAGCACAAGCCATGGGAGAGGTTTGCCATGGCCATGAAGGATCTTATATTTCCATGTAGGAGCGTATTCAAAGCATGGAGAAGAAACCACAAGAGGGAAGAAGATCAACTGCAAAGCCCTGCTACTTCTATGGCCATGAGGAATTTGGAAAATATCTCTAAATATTTGGTAGAAACTCAAGTTCTGACAAAATACCTTCATACTTTACAAAATATTTTCACATTAATGGTATCTCACACTTAATTGTCATTTGTCTCTTAAGGTTAGAATGTACTGTAATATGTAAATACATTTTAGGTGTCCACAAGGATAGTAAAACAAACGTGTGTGTGTGTGTGTGTGTGTGTGTGTGTGTCGTACCTCAAAGTTGCCCAGTAGTGAGCGGCTGATTGAGGAAGAGGGCCAGCCTGACCGAGCAGAGCGACACAAGGTGTCTGTACGCCGCCCACTGCGCAGCTGTCGACTGCGCACACGCACACGCACACGCACACACACACACACAGACACACACACAGACACACACACAGACACACACACACACAACAACAACAAAAGAAAGTTTAGCCATGGTTAAAGTCACATAAGTCACATAATCAAATATTATGTTTTAAAAATGACGAGTAGTAAATAAATGAATCAACTAAAGGTAGGAAGTTAACATACCTTTTCAGCCTCCTGCTTGCTCTGCTGCATTCTGACAGCCTCCTGCTAGCTCTGCTGCATTCTGATACACTCTGAAGGAGGACAAGAACAATGGACAGATGGACAGATTGAGAGAGAGAGATGGACAGATTGAGAGAGAGATGGACAGATTGAGAGAGAGATGGACAGATTGAGAGAGAGATGGACAGAATGAGAGAGAGATGGACAGATTGAGAGAGAGATGGACAGATTGAGAGAGAGATGGACAGATTTGATCATTTCTTCACAAATGCAACAGCCTACATAGTGGTTCACTCAGGAAACAACATAAAGGAACGCAGTGGAGTAATGAAGGTATACCTGCCTGTGTGTGTGTGTGTGTGTGTGTGTGTCTGTGTACCAGGATGTGTTTAACTATTATTGTGGGGACCAGAAGTCCCCACAAGAGTAGTAAACAAACAGAAATTTGACCAACTGGGGACATTTTGTTAGTCCCCATGAGGTCAAATGCTATTTCTAGGGAGTTTAGGGTTAAGGTTAGAATTAGTGTTAGAATTACGTTAAGGGTTAGGTTTTTGGGTTAAGGTTAGGGTTAAGGTCAGGGTAAGAGTACAGGTTAGGGTTCAGGGAAAATAGGATTTTGAATGGGACTGAATAGTGTGTCCCCACAAGGTCAGCTGTACAAGACTGTATGTGTGTGTGTGTGTGTGTGTGTGTGTGTGTACCAGTGTGTGTGTGTCTGTGTGTACCAGTGTGTGTGTCTGCATGTAGACACTATTTACTTGGCAGAGAGTCCCGGATGCTGCTTCACACACAAACTCATTCCCCATGTCCAAACTACTGCTCATACTAGGGGGTACCCTGTCCAAACTACTGCTCATACTAGAGGGTACCCTGTCCAAACAACTGCTCATACTAGGGGGTACCCTGTCCAAACTATTGCTCATACTAGGGGGTACCCTGTCCAAACTACTGCTCATACTAGGGGGTACCCTGTCCAAACTACTGCTCATACTAGAGGGTACCCTGTCCAAACAACTGCTCATACTAGGGGGTACCCTGTCCAAACTATTGCTCATACTAGGGGGGTACCCTGTCCAAACAACTGCTCATACTAGGGGGTACCCTGTCCAAACTACTGCTCATACTAGGGGATACCCTGTCCAAACTACTGCTCATACTAGGGGGTACCCTGTCCAGACTACTGCTCATACTAGGGGGTACCCTGTCCAAACTACTGCTCATACTAGGGGGTACCCTGTCCAGACTACTGCTCATACTAGGGGGTACCCTGTCCAGACTACTGCTCATACTAGGGGGTACCCTGTCCAGACTATTGCTCATACTAGGGGGTACCCTGTCCAGACTATTGCTCATACTAGGGGGTACCCAGTCCAGACTACTGCTCATACTAGGGGGTACCCTGTCCAAACTACTGCTCATACTAGGGGGTACCCTGTCCAAACTACTGCTCATACTAGGGGGTACCCTGTCCAGACTACTGCTCATACTAGGGGGTACCCTGTCCAGACTACTGCTCATACTAGGGGGTACCCTGTCCAGACTATTGCTCATACTAGGGGGTACCCTGTCCAGACTACTGCTCATACTAGGGGGTACCCTGTCCAGACTACTGCTCATACTAGGGGGTACCCTGTCCAAACTACTGCTCATACTAGGGGGTACCCTGTCCAGACTACTGCTCATACTAGGGGGTACCCTGTCCAAACTACTGCTCATACTAGGGGGTACCCTGTCCAAACTACTGCTCATACTAGGGGGTACCCTGTCCAGACTACTGCTCATACTAGGGGGTACCCTGTCCAAACTACTGCTCATACTAGGGGGTACCCTGTCCAAACTACTGCTCATACTAGGGGGTACTCTGTCCAGACTACTGCTCATACTAGGGGGTACCCTGTCCAAACTACTGCTCATACTAGGGGGTACCCTGTCCAAACTACTGCTCATACTAGGGGGTACCCTGTCCAGACTACTGCTCATACTAGGGGGTACCCTGTCCAAACTACTGCTCATACTAGGGGGGTATCCTGTCCAGACTACTGCTCATACTAGGGGGTACCCTGTCCAGACTACTGCTCATACTAGGGGGTACCCTGTCCAGACTACTGCTCATACTAGGGGGTACCCTGTCCAGACTACTGCTCATACTAGGGGGTACCCTGTCCAGGACTACTGCTCATACTAGGGGGTACCCTGTCCAGACTACTGCTCATACTAGGTGGTACCCAGTCCAGACTACTGCTCATACTAGGGGGTACCCTGTCCAGACTACTGCTCATACTAGGGGGGACCCTGTCCAGACTACTGCTCATACTAGGGGGTACCCCTGTCCAATCTACTGCTCATTCTAGGGGGGTACCCTGTCCAATCTACTGCTCATACTAGGGGGTACCCTGTCCAGACTACTGCTCATACTAGGGGGGTACCCTGTCCAGACTACTGCTCATACTAGGGGGTACCCTGTCCAATCTACTGCTCATACTAGGGGGGTACCCTGTCCAGACTACTGCTCATACTAGGGGGTACCCTGTCCAGACTACTGCTCATACTAGGGGGTACCCTGTCCAGACTACTGCTCATACTAGGGGGTACCTGTCCAATCTACTGCTCATACTAGGGGGTACCCTGTCCAGACTACTGCTCATACTAGGGGTACCCTGTCCAGACTACTGCTCACACTAGGGGGTACCCTGTCCAGACTACTGCTCATACTAGGGGGTACCCTGTCCAAACTACTGCTCATACTAGGGGGTACCCTGTCCAGACTACTGCTCATACTAGGGGGTACCCTGTCCAGACTACTGCTCATACTAGGGGGTACCCTGTCCAGACTACTGCTCATACTAGGGGGTACCCTGTCCAAACTACTGCTCATACTAGGGGGTACCCTGTCCAAACTACTGCTCATACTAGGGGGTACCCTGTCCAAACTACTGCTCATACTAGGGGGTACCCTGTCCAAACTACTGCTCATACTAGGGATGCGGGTACCCAGTCCTGGCTGGCACTGACCCTTCCCAGGCTAACCCCTCTGTAGCTATCCCCTCAGTAGCTAGCCCCACAGTAGCTAACCCCTCTCTAGCTATCCTCTCAGTAGCTAACCTCTCACTGGCTAGCCCCTCTCTAGCTAATCCCTCAGTAGCTAGCTCCTCTCTAGCTAATCCCTCACTAGCTAGCCTCTCTCTAGCTAATCCCTCTGTAGCTAGCCCCTCTCTAGCTAGCCCCACAGTAGCTAACCCCTCTCTAGCTATCCTCTCAGTAGCTAACCTCTCACTGGCTAGCCCCTCTCTAGCTAATCCCTCAGTGGCTAGCTCCTCTCTAGCTAATCCCTCAGTAGCTAGCCCCTCTCTAGCTAATCCCTCAGTAGCTAGCCTCTCTCTAGCTAATCCCTCTGTAGCTAGCCCCTCTCTAGCTAATCCCTCAGTAGCTAGCCTCTCACTGGCTAGCCCCTCTCTAGCTATCCTATCAGTAGCTAACCTCTCACTGGCTAGCCCCTCTCTAGCTAATCCCTCAGTAGCTAGCCCCTCTCTAGCTAATCCCTCAGTAGCTAGCCCCTCTCTAGCTAATCCCTCAGTAGCTAGCCCCTCTCTAGCTAATCCCTCAGTAGCTAGCCCCTCTCTAGCTAATCCCTCAGTAGCTAACCCCTCTCTAGCTATCCTCTCAGTAGCTAACCTCTCACTGGCTAGCCCCTCTCTAGCTAATCCCTCAGTGGCTAGCTCCTCTCTAGCTAATCCCTCAGTAGCTAGCCCCTCTCTAGCTAATCCCTCAGTAGCTAGCCTCTCTCTAGCTAATCCCTCTGTAGCTAGCCCCTCTCTAGCTAATCCCTCAGTAGCTAGCCTCTCACTGGCTAGCCCCTCTCTAGCTATCCTATCAGTAGCTAACCTCTCACTGGCTAGCCCCTCTCTAGCTAATCCCTCAGTAGTTTGCCCCTCTCTAGCTAATCCCTCAGTAGCTAGCCTCTCTCTAGCTAATCCCTCAGTAGCTAGCCTCTCACTGGCTAGTTCTTCTCTAGCTAATCCCTCAGTAGCTAGGCCCTCACTGGCTAGCCCCTCTCTAGCTAATCCCTCAGTAGCTAGCCTCTCTCTAGCTAATCCCTCAGTAGCTAGCCTCTCTCTAGCTAATCCCTCAGTAGCTAGGCCCTCACTGGCTAGCCCCTCTCTAACTAATCCCTCAGTAGCTAGCCTCTCACTGGCTAGTTCTTCTCTAGCTAATCCCTCAGTAGCTAGGCCCTCACTGGCTAGCCCCTCTCTAGCTAATCCCTCAGTAGCTAGCCCCTCTCTAGCTAATCCCTCAGTAGCTAGCCCCTCTCTAGCTAATCCCTCAGTAGCTAGCCCCTCTCTAGCTAATCCCTCAGTAGCTAGCCCCTCAGTAGCTAGCCCCTCTCTAGCTAATCCCTCAGTAGCTAGTTCCTCTCTAGCTAGCCCCTCAGTAGCTAGCCCCTCTCTAGCTAATCCCTCAGTAGCTAGCCCCTCTCTAGCTAATCCCTCAGTAGCTAGCCCCTCTCTAGCTAATCCCTCAGTAGCTAGCCCCTCTCTAGCTAATCCCTCAGTAGCTAGCCCCTCTCTAGCTAATCCCTCAGTAGCTAGCCCCTCTCTAGCTAATCCCTCAGTAGCTAGCCCCTCAGTAGCTAGCCCCTCTCTAGCTAATCCCTCAGTAGCTAGCCCCTCTCTAGCTAGCCCCTCAGTAGCTAGCCCCTTTACTGGGGCTCTGTCAGCTCGGCCACCCTCTCACTCTCACTCACTGTGGACATGTTATACGCACTACCTCGTTTCCCCTCCACCTCTCTCTCTCTGTCAGTCTCCTTCACCTTTCACCTCTGTATCCTTCCCTCCTTCTCTCTCTCTGTCTCTCTCTCTCTAGTCTCTGTCTGTCTGTCTGTCTCCATCCAGTCGCTCCCTGTCTGTGTCTCTCTCTCTCTCCCAGTCTGTCTCTCTCTCTCTCTCTCTCTCTCTGCCTCTCCCTGTCTGTCTCTCTGCCTCTCCCTGTCTGTCTCTCTGCCTCTCCCTGTCTGTCCCTCTGCCTCTCCCTGTCTGTCCCTCTGCCTCTCCCTGTCTGTCCCTCTGCCTCTCCCTGTCTGTCCCTCTGCCTCTCCCTGTCTGTCCCTCTGCCTCTCCCTGTCTGTCTCTCTGCCTCTCCTTGTCTGCCTCTCTGCGTCTGCCTATCCCTGTCTGTCTCTCTGCCTCTCCCTGTCTGTCTCTCTGCCTCTCCTTGTCTGCCTCTCCTTGTCTGCCTCTCTACCTCTCCCTGTCTGTCTCTCTACCTCTCCCTGTCTGTCTCTCTGCCTCTCCCTGTCTGTCTCTCCCTGTCTGTCTCTCTGCCTCTGTCTCTCCCTGTCTGTCTCTCTGCCTCTCCCTGTCTGTCTCTCTGCCTCTGTCTCTCTGCCTCTCCCTGTCTGTCTCTCTGCCTCTCCCTGTCTGTCTCTCTGCCTCTCCCTGTCTGTCTCTCTGCCTCTCCCTGTCTGTCTCTCTGCCTCTCCCTGTCTGTCTCTCTGCCTCTCCCTGTCTGTCCCTCTGCCTCTCCCTGTCTGTCCCTCTGCCTCTCCCTGTCTGTCCCTCTGCCTCTCCCTGTCTGTCTCTCTGCCTCTCCCTGTCTGTCTCTCTGCCTCTCCCTGTCTGCCTCTCCCTGTCTGTCTCTCTGCCTCTCCCTGTCTGTCTCTCTGCCTCTCCCTGTCTGTCTCTCTGCCTCTCCCTGTCTGCCTCTCCCTGTCTGTCTCTCTGCCTCTCCTTGTCTGCCTCTCTGCGTCTGCCTCTCCCTGTCTGTCTCTCTGCCTCTCCCTGTCTTTCTCTCTGCCTCTCCTTGTCTGCCTCTCTGCGTCTGCCTCTCCCTGTCTGTCTCTCTGCCTCTCCCTGTCTGTCTCTCTGCCTCTCCCTGTCTGTCTCTCTCTGCCTCTGTCTCTCTGCCTCTGTCTCTCTGTCTCTCTGCCTCTCCCTGTCTGTCTCTCTGCCTCTCCCTGTCTGCCTCTCTGCCTCTCCCTGTCTGCCTCTCTGCCTCTCCCTGTCTGCCTCTCTGCCTCTGCCTCTCTGCCTCTCCCTGTCGTCTCTCTGCCTCTCCCTGTCTTGTCTCTCTGCCTCTCCCGTCTGTCTCTCCTGCCTCTGCCTCTCCCTGTCTGTCTCTCTGCCTCTCCCTGTCTGTCTCTCTGCCCGTCTCTCTGCCTCTCCGTCTGTCTCTCTGCCTCTCCGTCTGTCTCTCTGCCTCTCCCTGTCCGTCTCTCTACTTCTAGTCTCTCAGTCTGTCTCCCTCCCTCTCTCACTGTCTCTCTCCCTCTAGTCTCTCACTGTCTGTCTCTCTGTCTCTCCCTGTCTGTCTCTCTAGTCTCGCCCTGTCTGTCTCTCTCCTTCCCAAATGGCACCCTATTCCCTATGTAGTACACTACTGTTGACCAGAGCCCTCTGGCTATTCAAAAGTAGTGCACGGAATAGTGAATAGGGTGCCATTTGGGACACAGCCAAAGTGTTTCTGCAAGCCAACAGGTCGGTATCTGAACGGGGGAGGCAGAAAGACCTGTGTGGTTTTGTAGGGGGGTTCTATTGGGGCAACAGTGACACAGGCAGGCAGAACACATGTAGTGCAGGGAGAACAATAGAGGTTCCCTCAATAGACTTCATTCTGGAGCCACTCGGCTGTGAAATGAGTGTTACATTAAAGGGAAGCTGCCTGCCACAATGACACGCCTGATAGCCCAAACTATGAGCAGTGTATAGTTTAGTGTGTGTGCTAGTCTGTACTCCTCACCTTGGGGTGGTCCCTGCCCTGTGCATTAGGCAGCAGGTGGTTCCAGAAGGGGGCAGCCTTGGCATCGGTGCCCCTGCAGGAGGCCAGCCCTAAGCCAGGGGCCAGCAGTGCAAGACGGCTCCTCTTAGAGGTAGAGGGGCCCTCATCCTCCGAACACGACTCCGCTGTGTCGCTAGAGGATATACGTTTCTTCTTAGCCTGCCAGGGGCCCGAGGGGACCCCACGGAACCCGCTGGTGCTGGGGGTCTTCTCCAGGGAGGCCAGGTCGTTGGTGGAGGCGGTGGCACTGGGATGGGGCGGGGAGGACTCCTGTTCGGCCCCGCACTCTCTGCCCTCCCCGGGTTCCTGGGGGACTGTGGTGAGAAGGGAGCGGGGGGAGAGGGAGCCTGTAGGTCCGAGGGGAGGTCCAGGGGGGTTGGGTGTGTCGAAGGCTCCGAGGGCCCAATAGGAATCCTTGTCAGTGCAGGAGTTGGGCTGTCTCGATGAGGAGCCACTACTGCAGCCCTCCCCGGACCCTCCAGGATCGCCCAGGGAGCAGGCCGGAGCGTCTCCCCCAGAAGGAGGCTCCGTGCTGGGTAAGGGGCTGCGGGAGCCAGGGGGGCTGTGGGGCTCAACCATGGGGGGTGATTTGGGCGACAGCGGGGCCCACGGGTCCGGGACGGGCCTGTCGTGGTTGTGCTGGGCGGGGCGTCGGGCGGGGGTGTGGCCGGGGGAGAGGGGGGCAGGTGGGGGGGATCTAGGAGACAAGTCCCCATCTGAGTCTCTGTGATCCACCATGATGCAGGAGAATACCTGGCCCTGCCCCACAACCATCCCAACCCCTACCCCAGGTCCTGGCCCTGGCCCACACAGAACCCCTCCTTCCAGGGCGTCACCGTCTCTGTATGTGTCCCCAGCCAGGTGGGGCCATTTGTGGCTGAGCTTGGGCTCCTCCAGGCCCCTCTTGACCCCCGGCCTGGCCGTCCGCTGGGCCTGTCCCGGCTGGGCCTCACTGGTCCTGGGGGGTTCGGAGGATGAGAACCCCCCCAGCTGGGAGAAGATGGAGAGCTGGTAGACCTTCTGGAGACGCAGCTGCTCCTGACCGAAGTGCCTGGAAACACCCACCCCGACCATCACACCAGGATCGGGGCCCTGTGAGGGGGCCTCGGGAGGAGATAGGTCCCCCTCGTGGGATGGAAGCTCCACCGGAGCAAGCTCCTCCTTGCTGCCACCCGTCAGTTCTACGTGAATGTGCCTCATGGCTGGAGGTCAGAGGTTAGAGGTCAGAGCCTTAGAGTGTCTGAGAAACTTTGTGCAATTAACAGGAAGTCAAGTAGCAGGAACAGGAAGTTCTAGAAAGTGCAAGGAGGCAGAGATTGACGTTCTACAGGAAGATAGGTCCTATACTTCCTGCTGTGATGTCATCAGCACACTGTAAACCAGGAAGTAGAGACGCATAGCACCTGAGAAGAGGAAAAGGTGTGATACACTTATTACACAGCAAGACACTTATCGGGATCGCATTTTGACTAGCAAACATTAACAAACTGACTAACAACAACAACAACTCACAACCTTGTAAACTCAGCAACAAGTTATCAATGTTAAAAAGGACACACCATCATAACTAATAACTATCCCACTAATACAATGTAAATGTAAGCAAACACGCTCTCTGTCTCACCTCTGTGCCCGATGATACCCTCCTGTCCCGTCAACACCTGGTGCAACATCAGAAAGCTGTGCCCACAGACTCCTACCATGGTTACCTATCCATCACCATGGTTACGACAAGTGGCAGCTAGCACCAGTATCCCCACACAGCCACACAGGAAGGGGAGGCGCTTCAGGAGGAAGAGGAAGTGATGGAAGAGACGGATACAGGAACTACCTACCGCCTGGTGCACTGAGGTATAATAATGAACTGGAGACTGTGTCCAAGATTTCCGCCCGTTGTTTTTGAGGTAATCTACTCACGTATGCATATGCTGATTCATGGACCGTATATATCCGGGTTGTATCCGGTTTACACAGACCAACATCACATGCGCACTAGCACTCAGTGCGCATAGGGAGCCGCACCAGCAGCGACGACGTCATCACCTCATCCAAAAACATGGCAGACAATTATTTGAATAATTAAATCGATGTTTTGTGCACAAAGGGATGTGACCAAAGTATTTGAAATGTTCCAATCGGAGTTCTCTATGTGGCCGTCTATGGAAATGTTCTTTCTGGGCCGGGCACCAGTTAAACTGCAGTACCTAAGCAACACTGTAGGAGCCGTCGAAACTGTGCTTCTAGACCGGAACCCTGGCCCCTTGACCTGGAGAGGGAAAATATAGACAGACACAGAGAGACAGAGACACAGAGAGATAGAGACAAAGAGACACAGAGAGACAGAGACACAGAGAGAGACAGAGAGACAGAGAGACAGAGACAGAGACACAGAGACAGAGACACAGAGAGACAGAGAGACAGAGAGACAGAGACACAGAGAGACAGAGAGACAGAGACACAGAGAGACAGAGACAGAGACAGAGAGACAGAGACAGAGAGAGACAGACAATAAAAGACAGAATGGTGTTAGATTCTCCACTAAGAAGTGCTGGCTAAAAGTATCCTACTTTGATTGATTGATTGATAGGTTGATTGGCCTACTCACCAAGGGGGCGGGACGTCAGTGAGGCTGGAGGGTTCCGAGAGGAAGTACTGATGAACACAAACAGGAAATTACTATCCTAAAGCACCTTCTGTGATTGGCCGACGGCCGGACACACCCTCCCTTGTCATCTGGGTGCTGGGTGAGACTCAGCGACGTCATCATGACACGGTCATTCCAGAGAGAAACCCTAGAGACACAACAGAGAGAGAGAATTAGCGTAATCAATTAATAAATTAACTGATTGATCAGAGTCAACCTATCGACCATTCTATCAGGACCTTGCAGGGGCGGAACCCCTCAGTAGATCATTCAGGCCATCAGGGAATTCCTGAGAATTTTAATTAAATTTTTTATTACAGAGATTGCGAGATTAAATCAGTCAATCAGCTGAACTTTTGGACCAGAACATGCTCCCATGGACTCAAGGGAACAAGCTGCTTCCATGACAACCAGCAGCCAGCAGCCATGACAACAGGCCCTTTGTGCTCCCCCACAGAGAGAGAGAGAGAGCGAGAGAAAGATACTGTTCCAAGAAAACATCTTAGAACAAAACAAGATGGCCGCTGCAGAAGGTCAACATGACATGGGCACCAAAAATGTGAACTTGCTGGGATTCCAACACATGCAGATAAATTATATTTCTATTACAGTGATTCAAAATACTACCCCCCACTGCCTCTAACATCTCCTTTTGACAGAGATAAAATGACCAGCAGATCAGTTTCAACTCCAGTAATGTTGCAACGAGCAACCGATGAACCCTCCAAGTACTATCTTAAATGGAATATGGAACACGAGCGAGTCATCATGCGACCTGACGGGAGGAGAAGAGCTGACGATGACAAGATATTTATGAACGGCTGACATATCATATATATATATAAATAGAGAGAGCTGTCGGAGCTAGAAGCACAAGCGTTTCACTACACCTGCAATAACATCTGCTAAACACATGTATGTGACCAATAAAATTGGATTTGATTTGATATATATAAATAGAGAGAGAGAGAGATAGAGAGAGAGCATGTCTATAGTGTTCCTGTAGTGTGCACGACATCAGAGGGAATCAGGAGGATGAAAAGATTTGTCATGGGCCCTCAGATCCTCAACATGTTCTACAGCTCCACCATTGCCAGCATCTTTGACTGGCTGCATCACCGCTTGGTATGGCAACTGCTTGGCATCTGACAACAAGGCACTACAGAGGGTAGTGCGTACAGCACAGTACATCACTGGGGCCAAGCTTCCTGCCATCCAGGACCTCTATACCAGGCGGTGTCAGAGGAAGGCCCAAACAATTGTTAAAGACTCCAGCCACCCAAGCCATAGACTGTTCTCTCTGCTAACGCACGGCAAGCGGTACCAGTACACCAAGTCTGGAACCAACATGACCCTGAACAGCTTCTACCCCCAAGCCATAAGACTGCTAAATAAGACTGCTAAATAGCTAATCAAATGGCTAAACAGACTACCTGCATTTACACTTTTTTGCACTAACTCTTGCACCGACTCTATGCACACACACTCCATAAAATACTTACACTGACATCCCAACCCACACACATGCATACTATTATCTATCTTGCCTAGTCACTTTACCCCTACCTATATGTAGATAGCTACCTCAATTACCTCGTACACCTGCACATCAACTCGGTACTGGTATCCCGTGTATATAGCCATGTTATTACCTCGTACCCCTGCACAGCAACTCAGTACTGGTCCAGTATATAGCCATGTTATTACCTCATACCCCTGCACAGCGACTCAGTACTGGTACTGTATATAGCCATGTTATTACCTCGTACCCCTACACAGCAACGCGCTATGATAAAACTGGCTCTCATGAGGACCGCCACAGGAAAGGAAGACCCAGAGTTACCTCTGCTGCAGAGGATACGTTCATTAGAGTTAACTGCACCTCAGATTGCAGTCCAAATAAATGTGTCACAGAGTTCAAGTAAGACACATCTCAACATCAACTGTTCAGAGGAGACTGCGTGAATCAGGCCTTCGTGGAGGAATTGCTGCAAAGAAACCACTACTAAAGGACACCAATAATAAGAAGAGACTTGCTTGGGCCAAGAAACACGACCAATGGACATTAGACCGGTGGAAATCTGTCCTTTGGTCTGATGAGTCTAAATTTGAGATTTCAAGTTCAAACCGCCATGTCTTTGTGAGACGCAGAGTAGGTGAACGGATGATCTCCGCATGTGTGTTTCCCACCGTAAAGCATGGAGGAGGAGGTGTTATGGTGTGGGGGTTCTTTGCTGGTGACACTGTCTGTGATTTATTTAGAATTCAAGGCACACTTAACCAGCATGGCTACCACAGCATTCTGCAGCGATACGCCATCCCATCTGGTTTGCGCTTAGTGGGACTATAATTTGTTTTCCAACAGGACAATGACCCAACACACCTCCAGGCTGTGAAAGGGCTAATTGACCAAAAAGGAGAGTGATGGAGTGCTGCATCAGATGACCTGGCCTCCACAATCACCCGAACTCAACCCAATTGAGATGGTTTGGGATGAGTTGGACCGCAGAGTGAAGGAAAAGCAACCTACAAGTGCTCAGCATACAGTGGGGAGAACAAGTATTTGATACACTGCCGATTTTGCAGGTTTTCCTACTTACAAAGCATGTAGAGGTCTGTAATTTTTATCATATGTACACTTCAACTGTGAGAGAAGATCCAGAAAATCACATTGTATGATTTTTAAGTAATTAATTTGCATTTTATTGCATGACATAAGTATTTGATACATCAGAAAAGCAGAACTTAATATTTGGTACAGAAACCTGTTTGCAATTACAGAGATCATACGTTTCCTGTAGGTCTTGACCAGGTTTGCACACACTGCAGCAGGGATTTTGGCCCACTCCTCCATACAGACCTTCTCCAGATCCTTCAGGTTTCGGGGCTGTCGCTGGGCAAAATGGACATTCAGCTCCCTCCAAAGATTTTCTATTGGGTTCAGGTCTGGAGACTGGCTAGGCCACTCCAGGACCTTGATATGCTTCTTACGGAGCCACTCCTTAGTTGCCCTGGCTGTGTGTTTCGGGTCGTTGTCATGCTGGAAGACCCAGCCAATGCTCTTACTGAGGGAAGGAGGTTGTTGGCCAAGATCTCGCAATACATGGCCCCATCCATCCTCCCCTCAATACGGTGCAGTCGTCCTGTCCCCTTTGCAGAAAAGCATCCCCAAAGAATGATGTTTCCACCTCCATGCTTCACGGTTGGGATGGTGTTCTTGGGGTTGTACTCATCCTTCTTCTTCCTCCAAACACGGCGAGTGGAGTTTAGACCAAAAATATATATTTTTGTCTCATCAGATCACATGACCTTCTCCCATTCCTCATCTGGATCATCCAGATGGTCATTGGCAAACTTCAGACGGGCCTGGACATGCGCTGGCTTGAGCAGGGGGACCAAGCGTGCACTGCAGGATTTTAATCCATGACGGCGTAGTGTGTTACTAATGGTTTTCTTTGAGACTGTGGTGCCAGCTCTCTTCAGGTCATTGACCAGGTCCTGCCGTGTAGTTCTGGGCTGATCCCTCACCTTCCTCATGATCATTGATGCCCCATGA